TTCGGGGGTTTAGGGTTTAGGGGGCTTAAGCCTGACTGTATGGGGCGATGCAGGGTTCGGTCTTTGGGGTCCGGTTTCCTGGGAGCGCAGTTTAGGGTGGCTGAAACTTGTAAATCCTTAAACCCTAAACCCTGAACCTCAAACCCTAAACCCTAAACCCCACAACCCTAAACCCTAAACCGAAAACCCTAAACCCCAAACCCCAAAACCCTAAACCTGAAGCCTTGGACCATAAAGGCTCACGCCGCCAAGCCGTTAAGCTCGTCGGGCTGGAACCCCGAACCATTCCCGGAGCCAGATACTGAGGAACTAAGGGTTCATAAGGCTGAGGGTTTGGGTTTTAGGGTTTTAGGGTTTAGGGTTTAGGGGAATATCCGATAGATCTGGAGGGAATTGTCGTATTATGTGAGGTAGATGGCTCATTTAACGGTGTTGGGCTCGCAGGGTGGCCGCAGATTACATCACCCTGAACCCGTCGATGTGTATAATTCGGATAACCCCACTGGGCCTACTGTAAACCTCAAACTAAACTCTAAATCGCTAACACCTACCACTCCACAGCCCTAAAGGCTAAACTTCAGAAACTAAGCCCCTATCTGGCACCTAAGCGCAATGAAACTCTACAATCCCTATGAAATCCCTATACAACATATGTGCTTTTGTTCTTTAAACAACTTCCTTATATACAACCCGAGACCCCAAACCGCTAAACCTCTGAACCTTAAGCCCTAAGCCCCAAATATGAAATCCCTATACTATATACCCTATACAACCCTAAACCCCTAACCCCTAAACCTCTGAGCCTTAAGCCCTAAACCCCAAACCCCTAAACCCTAAACCCTAACCCTAAGCCCTAAACCCAAATCCCTAAACCCTAAACCTAAACGAGACAGGTCCTGCCATGGCTACGAGAGCACCCTGAGGGCTTGCAGCCAGTCGCTCAAACGCCTGCAGGTCAGCTACGTGGACTTGCACCTTGGTTTCCAGGGGTCAGAGGGTCTTCTTTTTTTGTTAGGGCTCCTAGGGCTTCATAGGGTCATGTTTGAGGGCTTATAGGGTTTATAGGGAGTCTAGGGTTTAAGATCTCGAGCTTTCCAGAAGAGCAATCGCGGTTTCGGGTTTAGGGATTTGGGTTCAGGGCCTTAGGATTCGAGGTTTAGGGTTTAGGGTTTGCGGTTTAGGGTTACGCCTCCGGAATGTCAGACCATCCGGGAACTCAACAAAAGACCGCCCCAAAAGGAGGATCCTTATTGCAAGCGCCTGAGAAAAAGTTATTGCTAGGGCCTGGGTTGGGGTCTCAGAGACTGATTGACGCAGTAGTCAGTAGGACGAGAGGTTAGGATCGGTGGTACCTGGTATATTATGTGGGCCATGTTTAGTGTTCTAGTATTGACTACCTTCCTGAGGATCTTCGCTTTTGCACCCCCCACTCCCCACCGAAACCCAAAACCCTAAACCCTAAAACCCACACCCAAAACCCTAAGCCCCAAAACCCCAAAGCCAGAAGGTACCTGGTACACTGGCCCGGGCCGCAGCCCAGTAGCTCCGCGTCCTGGACTCCAGAGCAGCGGAGAGAAACCTGGAGGGCCCTGGAGACGCTCCACAGGGCTTGGGGTTTAGGGTTTAGG